TATATATATATATATGGGTTTACCAACGCACGCCTGTTTTTCAGTTGGTACAATGTGTACCGGGTTTTAGTAGACAAAAATACCCTTATATATCATGAATTCTAAGTTTTAAGGTTAAGAGTATTTTAATAATTTTCATTCTCAAAACTAAAAACAAAAAAGAAACCTCAAATCCTTACTCACCTCTCTCATTACTCTCAACCCTTTCTGTTTCATCTTTTCATCTTTCTCACTCCAATCTTTTCTCTGTCATCCTACTATAGCCCCAATTGAAAAAATCAGAAACACTTGTCGTTAAACAATCTTACAAAAAAATGATTTTATAATGAGTTTTCATCTTATAATTTTTGTCTTATCTAATTTTATCTAATTTTATCCAATTTTCACAAGTATAAAGGAATTGGTAATTGACCTGGAAAATATCAGAAATACTCGCTGTTAAACAATTTCTTACAAAAAATGATTTTATAATGAGTTTTTATTTTATAATTTTTGTCTTATATAATTTTATCTAATTTTCACAAACATAATGACATCAAAGGAATTGGTAATTGGCTGGAAAAAATTAGAAACACTCGTTGTTAAACAATTTCTTACAAAAAAATGACTTTATAATGAATTTTCATTTTATAATTTTTGTCGTATATAATTTTATCTAATTTTCACAATCATAATGACATCCGAAAGAATTGGTAATTGGCTTGGAGGGTTTTTTTAGAGATGATTCAACATATGCAAATGATGAAATTAGAGAGGTTAGTGAATATGGTGAAATTGAAGAGATCTTGAATGAACCTTTGCCTGAAGGTGAATATGTCAATGACTCAACTCTTTACAAAGGCAAATTGTTTAAAGACTTTCTGATTTTTTCAATTGGAGCTACAGTAGAGATGACAGAGAAAAGAGGTTTCAGTGAGAAAGATGAAAGAGAAAGGATTGAGAGGAATGAGAGACCTCAGGAAGGGTTTTGGGGGTTTCTTTTTTTTTTAAAGTTTTGAGAATGAAAATTATTAAAATACCCTTAACCTTAAAACTTAGAATCATGATATTTTTGTCTACTAAAACCCTGTACACATTGCTAAAATTTACCAACTGAAAAACAGGTATAAATAGTTTAACATTGTTAAAAAAAAAGAAGTAAATGTAGTGATTTATTAGATAAATTAAAAAAAAATTTAAATTTGTGAATCTGAATTAAACTTAATTATGATTTTAGTCTTCCAAATTTTTAAGAGATAATTTTAAAATAGTAATGCTAATAATAATATATGGTGTTCCGTGATTCTCTTCTCTTATTTAGTATTCTTAATTTCGAAAATTTCAGTGTTGTTTTGAACATTTTGTGTATCTAGTTATACCATGCTATCTCGTCCCGTCAAAGAAACCTAGGAATGATTTTATAGCCATTATAGGTGGTTTAAAAGAGAGATGAGAAAAAGATAAGAATGGAAGAAAGCATCCAAATTTAAGAGAGTTAAAAGAGAATCTTCCAAGCATCCTGTCCAAAAATGCAGAAAATCTTCTTGGATTGACATATTCATGTGAGTGAGAAAGAAACACACTCTACAAATAAAAAGAAAACAAAGAAAGCAATGGCCATCAATAAGGTCTTGTCTATTTTAGCACCCACCCATTTGGTTTTCTCACTTTATGGCTTATACTATTTCACACCAACAAAGACCATAATTTCACTCATATAAAAAAATGATTTTCTAATATTATTCTGGAGTTAGAAAATATATTCAGTACTAAAAGAAGTATCCTCAAAACAGTACAAAATTCCAAGTTTATGAACTTGGAAATCACAGATCAATAAAAGTATATAATCGCTACAATTAGAAAGCAATGCTAATTAATCTATTTATATCGTAAAGGTAGAAATTTAATAATTATGTTTTCCCGACAAAACGGTAAGTTTTATTCTAAGTAAGCCTTGTGAAAAAAATACTTATATAATTACTTTACTATTGTGGGAATATGATCATGGAAGTTAGACGAATAATTTTGAAAATATTATAGTCGATATTTTACTCGTATCTTTAAAAGTACACTGTTCATTAATCTAAATTTATTTAGTAGAATATCAACCAGTTTTGAAAATGTATAAATTTTTTTGAAGACTTTTTTTTTGTCAGCATAAATTTTGAAGACTTGATCTAGTTTATAATACATTTTTAATTTAATAGTTGCATTGATAAAATTTAATATGAAGAGATAGTAATAGAGTAACATTAGTTAAATGTTGTCATGAAATGACTTGGTTGCTCTTTGTAATTTTTAAAAGTATTAGTAACTCGTTATTACAATAATACACAGTTACATTATCTATATTTTCTATATGCATAGTTTTGAGGAAATATAAAAATATAAAAATATAAAAAAAAAAAGTTAATAGAGAGAAACTGTATGAAGAGTTAGTCCTAACTTCAATTCCTTCCAATAACTTTAAGTATCATGGTAGTTATAAATTTAACACAAAAAGAAGTAATGTAAACTTCAAAAGTGATTAACCTCAAACACTTGATAAAAAAGAAAAAAAGTGAAGGAGAAATAATGTAACACTCAACCCAAACTCTATCCATTGACATCACCGCTCATGTTCATGCATCATCTGTGGGCTCCTCCTTGTCGTGCATCATCTCATGCATCCCATTAACTCAGTTTTGTGATTTTCCCTTTCATTTCTGGTTTATTCAAACTGAATGATGCGTACAAATGAAGTAGTGTGGCCAAGAAGTCGGTGTAGAGACAAAATTCACTTGAGAAATCAGACCCTAATTAATCATTGGATTTATGACCTAATTAACAAGGGCTGCGATTTTGCTATTTGAGATAGGAGCGTTGTACAATTATGACCCACTCACTAATCCAGTATTTTTGCTATTAAAAAGAAGTTAATTAGTGATGTTTAAGATCCCACTCTAAGAGGGTTGCATCACAATTCGCACATTACAATTCAGAATGTGATAGCGAGTTCACGAAGCTTAACACCAACCACCCATTTTTGCGCAACAGAACAGAATCAACAACCATTTTCTCTGAGTCAATATGTTCCACTGCGGTGCCTCAAATAAAATTAAAGGGAGTTTATGTTTATGTGTCGTGTGTTTCAACTTTTAGGAGACCATGCCACCGGGTGCTGTAGTTGGCTTAGTGGGTTCTTGTTTGTGGACCCTTTAGCTTTATCATTCGACCTTCTTCTTCTTCTTCTGCTTTGCTTCTGTTCAAATTGCACGGCTGTCTGATAAAGAATGCCACAGGAAGCTTCACATTACCCAATCCAATCATTTATTTATATTCACATTTACATTTTAATCAAGTTTCACTATTTACCCTTCAATTTTAATATGGATTAATTGTATTTGGTTCTTGGATTTCAATTCTGCAAAGCTACTCTTCCGTGAATTAAAATACTTAATTTAAGTCTTTAAACTCACAGTTAGATATTAGGGAGTAAACTGCACAATCGCAATACAGAGATAAAAAAAATGTAATTAAGTCTTTTACTATGTTGTTCGTAAAAATATTACTTTCTTGATTGATTACAAACTACTATTCTACACATAACTTTTTAAGTAATTATTAAAAAAGAAATAATCGTATCCCAATGATAAGGTAAGATTGGAATATACCCAGTCATTCAATTTTAATTCTATTTTAATTTTTATAGACAGCTTTTCCTTTACAAGTACAGGTTTAGAATACCTTATTTTGTAAAGTAGCTTAATTTAAAATAACTTCCTCTGAAAAAATTGGAATAGGAACTATTTCCCTGACTACAAGCCCAAAAAAGCATATGAAGTGTTCATAATTGGTACGAATAGTCTTTTATAATGTTTTTTTGTTCCAGTGAAAGTTGAGCTGTTCCTTGCATGTGGGTTCATGTTAAGCCCACAAGGAAGTCAATAATTACGAAGATGTTAGATGAGGATGGATTACATGGCATTAACATTATTGGAACAACTTTTATTTGTTGTTCCCGTTTAGGCCCAATCACTGTATCAAAGAATTTGCAGGCATTGACTGATGTAACAGACGATGCTTTTGGATAATGTACTGTGTTATTCACTTATTTGTCACAAATTTATTGCACTTTGTTCCTGCTTTTGATGATTTAGATCCCTTTTAGATATGGCTTTTGACTTTATAATAGAGGAGGCACAGTTTGATATGCAATGCTTACAAGTCATTATTGTCAAATAATTTTCTGATCAAGTACACTCAATGAACACATTGCAAGACCAATAGCTGCAAATGAGAAGATCCATTTAATCTCCAGTTTTGACCTTGCCTCGTGAAGGAAAATACAGGACAATTTTACTTTGGGTTGAGGATGCTATCTACTTACAATTATGATTCTGATCAAAGAATGTTCTGCTTGGCCCTTAGGCAAATCAAATTGGAAGAGACCGCAGAAGAGATGTATCAATGCGCAGAGAGGCGATCAAAATTTGAAATTTTTCTTGAAGTATATAACCACCTCTTGCTGAAAAAACATTGGGGATCTTATAATTAGCAAACTTTTGCAATGAATAACTCGTTTAGCAGTAATGTATGTTTCAAGTAACAACAGATTTCTCACCACCAAACTAAGCAGAATGCATGCCGCAGCCCCGGGATACAAAGCATACCAAAAATTCAAGTGATGGAACTTTGGACCATCAATGAAAAGCAATGGCATGCTAGCAGCTGCATGTATCATTGGAATAAAGTTAACCAGAAAATTTGGAAGCTTTAATGAGTTTATTCAAACTACAACAAAATAACGTTGAGGAAAAAATACCTGGGGGGTGAACGGAGTTGGTGCAAATCATGTAAGCAACGGATGCTGCAATACTAGCACTCCTGGCAAGCCATCCGGGTCCAAATATTGTCAATGCCAAAACACCAATTGCTGCACAACCTATTTGAGCCATGAACATGCTGTACTTCTGCATAATCACATGTGGGTTATTTAGTTCTGATGTAAACAATTAGTTTTGTGGGGTGATTTTATTTTTGGTCTATATATGTTCTAAACCGAAAACACGCAGGTCTTATTTTTTTTAAAAAAAAACAATGACCACTGTCAGGTTTAAACGTGACTCTGACAACTAGACGAACCCTAATGAGTAAGCAGATTCTGATAAATTGTTTTTCACTTGTAATTAGTAAAAAATGAACATCTGTAATAGTTGAAAATGTGGAAGAGCATATGAAAATTTAGACACAGTGCATTCAATTGATTAAAAGCAATTATACCCTGGCAGAAGGGGCAGTGGGAGTGGCAAAGAGGACAGTGGAAACAGCCCCAAATGGTGCAAATGCGATTGAGAGTCCTTTTGGTGCCAATAACTGATCAAGCTTTCCCAATACTGCCATGGCCGCAAATGCCCCTGTTCAATTAATTTCTTTGATTAAAAGAAAAAACATTTAAAGCTGCCAAATTTTAGTGAGTTACTAGATGAATTGGTGTAGTTAGGAATATCCTACAGTGGGTGGTTCCAGTGAAATCATGACTTCAAATTTCCTGAAAAGAATCGAGACGAGGGGGGGGGGGGGGGGGGGGGGGGGGTGGGGGGAAACTAACCAGCAGAGGGCCAAAGAATGTCACTGAGGGAAGGAGTGGAAGGGGCTTTGAGAGGCTTCCAATCATCCCATATAGATGGAGAAGCAACGTTGCTTGATGCCACGATCCGATATCCTCTTTTCCTTCCCTTTTGAATATATTTATGATTACAGTTAGTAGCGGCCCAATAATCGAACACTACTACTCCCTTGCGTTTGATGGTGGTGTTAGAACAGAAGGAAGCAAATGAAGATGATGAAGGTAACGATAATGGGAGCGTACAATTGGTGGCAACATTGCCAACACCGACCATTCCAGATGACGTTTGACTCATCTCTCTAGTCTTCAGTTTTGGACCGACCGCTTAGAGTCTCGAATTCTCAGAGTCCCTCTATCAAATAACGGAGAAGGTGAGGTCAGGATCGTGGAAAAGCAAAGGCCGTCGAGACTTCAAAAACGAATAAGCCTTTGAAGAGAGCCAAAGGGCGCCCGTTAACAACATGTAACCTTTTCTTTTTGTTTCCTAATACTTTAATTTCAATGCTCTAACTACCTATTATTACTTTTGCATTACACAAGACAAAATCCTATCACATCCACCACCACTAGCCTCTCATTTCACTTTGTGGACCTAACCTCTACTTGGGTTTTTCACATGTCATCACTGTAAGCCCAAGTTTCACATTATTACCTTTTTTTAATCCTCCTATACTTGTAGGCATTTCATTCAAAAATAAAACTCTATTGCTAAATAAAAGAGTATAAATTAATTTCAAAGATTAAGTTTAAAGGATTTTTATACTATCATCTCAAAAGAAAACGTTTATAATATAACAATGTCAATTTTCCAATAATTACTTTCCCAATCATACATGATGATTTTTAGTCACTAATTAGTTGACCAGGTAAAAAACATTATAATAACATAAGCTCCGAATTCGATTCATTCATATGATCGATTAAAAATGTGACCTACTTAGGAACGGACTTTTTATAAGCATAGAGACGATAATAACGCATATGAAACTATTATGGCCTTTTTCTTGCGCAGAGGTAAATTAACGTTGTCGGTTAATAGTCTTTGGAAATTGTTGACCAAAAAGCTCACATTAAGAATGCCTAATTGACCAAAATTGTATGAGAAAGTGATAGCATTGCTGGAATGGAGGCCATTCCAAATATAAAAACCCGCTACAACATTGAAGGGGATAAGTGTTTAGGTTATTCACAAGAGGACATTTGCAACAAAGTAAAACTAGAATGTCACACAAAGGAAAAGGAAAACATAGGAAGGGTGCTGCGGAAATAGCATGATTGGATAGGATTTACTTTTGTCATCAGTAATCTGAATCAGACTCATAAAACTCGCTTGGACAGGACATAACCTCTTGCTTCAGCAACTGTAACACCTCGTTCATTGATGGACGATCATCTGCATTTCCATCTGTGCATCTTAATGCTAGCTCAAGAATAACTTCAAGGGTTCCTTCATCTGCAATTCTGCATCTTTTGTCCACCACGTCTTTCATTTTGTTATCTCTCAGTAATGTGTTCACCTGCAAAGAATTGCCTAAAGCTCAGTACATTTATGTTGGAAAAACTTTCCTGCGTTACCAGAGATTTGCATTGAGGGTTAAAAAGCTTAGCTTACCCAACCAACAACATTTAAACCTCTTCTCACAAAAGATGGATCTGTTGGCCTCTTCCCAGTTACAAGTTCGAGTAAAAGAACTCCAAAGCTATACACATCCGACTTCTCAGTTGCTCTTCCACTTTGTAGATACTCTGGTTGACAGGTAAATTATAAACCACCACTCAATCAATATTAAATTCAGAAAATCACTTGATACATTTTTGAATAATTAATAGGGTCTTGTTACAGGGACAACTTGAGTAATGCTTTGAATAGTATTCTTAGCATTTATCAGCATTTGGCCAATTAATACATATTGTATACATTAGAAATAATTATCTACCATATCATTCAGCACTCTTTTAGCACATTTGGTATAGGTCAATTGAAAATTTGATTAGTGAATGGAATATGATCATCTTGAATCCAAAAGCCCAAAACAAAATAAAGGATAACCAGGCCACCTATAAGTATCCAAAAGTAGTAAATACATACCTGGTGCCAAATAACCAAATGTGCCAGCTACCACTGTGGTAACATGTGCCTCCTCATCGACCAAAAGCTTTGCAAGGCCCAAATCGGATATATGTGACTCCATGCATTCATCAAAGAGTATGTTGCTAGATTTTATATTACGGTGAACAATTTCTGGGCTGCATTCGTGGTGCAAGTAAGCCAAACCCCGGGCAGCACCAAGAGCTATCTTTAGGCGATCACTCCAGTTCGGTACTAGGATTTCTTGAGTATTTTCTGAACAAAGGATTGCATAACAATTAGAAAATTGCACAGCTACAGGACTGAGTCATCACAAATTTACAATACATTTTATAAAATTTACTGGCTTGAATCGTACCATGCAAGACATCATCTAAGCTGCCTAAGACCAAATAGTCATAGATAAGGAATCTTGAAGAAGGAAGCCTGCAGTAACCACGCATATTTACAAGATTTGTGTGTTTGATGCTCCCCAAGATCTCGAGTTCCCTTTCAAACACTTGATCGGACCCTTCATAACTTCGATCAATCCGTTTAACAGCAAATAGACGACGATCATTCATCTCCATTCGGTAAACAGTACCATATCCTCCGGATCCTAATATATTCTCTTCATCTAGAGACTCCAGCTTCTCTACGATCTCAGACGATGTGTACGGCAGATCACCATGGAATGTAATAAGTTTTGCGCCTGTTAAAGATTATGTTAGCATCTATGAATAAAGAGAATATTTTCTTTTCTTTTTTCCTTGGTAGTTAATAGGAGATTGTCAAATTTGAAAATATCACTCTTCTTACTAGCTCCTGGATGAACTTGTTTCTTGACTTCCGTGTATCTCTTTGCAGCTCGCTCTTTCTTTGATATCAAACGAGTCCACAGAAATGAAAGCACCATGACAAGTGCGATACCCATAATTGCAATTGCATAAATTAACAGTACCTTCATGTAACGTGAAGACCTTTTGGCAGGGACTGCATATATTGAAGTGATAAGGATTATCATACAAAACAGTGACCATAATTCTTTAATATGTATTTAGTTCTAAATCAAGGAAATTAGATAGTATTTAGGAAAATCAAATTCAAAGGTAAGACTTGCCTGCAGCTTGATCACTTTCAGCATGGGGGAGCACCACAGGAAAACCAAGTGATGTCCGACATGGCTTTTCGATTTGCCGCCCACAAAGATCTGAATTTCCCTCAAACCTATTTACATGAATTTGTCATTACAAAAGTAAAGAAATAATAGAAACCAACGTGCTGCTCATAGTGCAAATACATTAACATGATAACAGATATAGAAAACACAAGAAAATCCAAAATTCTTAGTGTCAATGAAAATCCAAAATCCAACAGCCAAGAAAACTTAAAAACACAAAATGATTTTTTTTACCTTAAATATTAAAAAGATAGAAGGCAGAAGTTCAGAAATCAAAAGTGAAATGTTGACTTCAGTCTTTGATCCACAATTTTCACCATTCAAATTCAAATAGTTTACAAATAATAAAACACTATGTTTGACTCCAATAATTTAAAACACAACAGTTACCAAGTAAACTTATCACCCTACTGTAATGCATGAGTGCAAATAATTAGTCTGCATGTTACAAGGTATAATATAAACTGCAATAAGGAAGGAGTACATACGAGTATTTGCTAAAGGTGCTCAGTACTCCAATGTCAGGAATTTCACCAGAAAAGAAATTGGTAGTCAAGTTCCTAAGACAGGGAGAGTGAGCATAAATGAATCATAGAGTTATTAACATCATTATGCCAGAGAAGTTTAAGTTATACTGACTTACAGAATTTGCAATTGTGAGAGACGGCCAATAGAGGAAGGTATGGCACCTTTCAATAAGTTACTCGATAAATCCCTGTATTTAAACTATGTATTAAATTCCAGATAAATTAAAATGCAGTTGAGAAACAAAGTGTAGAAACAAGCTCAAAGAATCATAAAGGAACAGTGAGAAAAGCAAGGAACAAGGAATTACAATATATTCAAATATGAAAGATTTCCAATGTTTGACGGTATGCCTCCTTCAAAAAAGTTACCCCTCAAGTACCTTTGAATACAATCAGATGAGACACATCACCATCGACATAGCATAAAAGCAATTTATATGAAATTGATAAATACTTCTTTAGGATTGAACCATTTAACTTACAGTGCTCTTAGATCAGAACAATTGGTAAGTTCATTAGGAATGGTTCCATGCAAGCTGTTCTGATGAAGGGCCCTGATTCATTGCAAGCCATCATATGGAATGAGAATGATAAAAGTCTCATGTGCAAGTTCACCAATGGTGAGGGAAATGTGTTTTCTACTTACAGCCTTTGTAGTCCACTGAGTTTACCAATGCTGGGAGATAAAATTCCTCCAAGTTGCATGTATGGCAGATTTCTGAAGAACAAAACATAAAGTGTTATACTGAGCTGAGAAAGTGGGAGAAAAAGGAAACAGAATGAAGTGCATGTGTTGTTTGCTTACATTATGCGAACTCTTTGGTCATCGCCAGGGTGGCAAGAGATACCAGTCCATCTACAATGAGTCTCATCAAACTCTTGCCAGTTGCTCAGAACATTCTTAGTATCATTCAAAGCACTTTTTATTTCCAACAAGGTCAGACCTAACAGATGAAAAAACATGCATAAGAGAATTAAAGTTCACAACTTTAAACTCCAGTTTTCACAAGGAGAAGCGTTTTACAAAGATTTGGAGAGAGAATGATAAAGATAAACTCCCAAAATAGCTAAGGTGAAATGGAAAAAGTACCCAGAATGCATTTATTCTTCTCCACAAAAGAAAAAAAAAATCATAGGAAAAACTAAACAAAACATGGAAGAGGATTTGAAGCAGAGAAATAAAAAAGATTCATGGCTCTAACCATCCAGGGTGAGAGCAAGAGAAGAAGGGCAGAAAACTGTGACCATAATCGCCAGAGAAATGCATGTTACAATCCCCATTTCCAATCTCTCAAAAAATTTGAACTTTCTATGTGAGAAACTGAAACTAGTCACCAGAAGAGTATGACTTTAAAGTGATGATCAGTAGGAAAAAAGTGTGAGTAGGGTTGGGAGTATGATAATAATGTAGACCCAGATGTTACCATATGATTTAACTTTCATGAACTCAAAATAACTAATATATAGAGAAAACAGTGAGAATAATTTCATGCAAAGGTAAGAGAGTGGTCTCATACTACTCTGATATTTACTTTTTTTTATTGGTTCTAAGACTTAATTTATTAAATATTTTTATAAAGAGAGGGAAAAAGGACAAGTATTTTGAAAATCGGTATGAAAAGCGGTGCAGCAGTTGTTCAGAGCGAAATTCAAAAACAAATTCTTGAACCACTCGAGTATGTGAGTGTAAAGGATACTCGCCATTATGTTAACAAAAACAAAATTTGCCATCGACAAGAACTAATAGAGATGAGAAGTGAAAAGCCACAGCAGCAGGTAGCGCGTGGTAATTTTTTCACAGTCCCAGAGAAATGTCAGATATATTTAATCTAATTTAATATTTAAATTTTAACAATAATAATAAAAAGGAAGAATTGCACAATTAGGATGAAATTATTGATGGATCCTATGTTCTTGTTTTTTCCAGTTTCAAGATAAATTTGAAGTGAGTATATACAATAACAATTTGATTTCTCTATTTATAACCTATCTTATACTTTTCCTTTTCAGTTCATGTCTTTCTTACAATAGATATTTCTATCTAACTTTTATCATTTTTTAATAATAAAAATGAAAAATAATTATCCAGTTTTTTACACAAATAAAGGACAAAATATGCGAACGTAATTTCTAATACATCTTAATTGTATTGCTACAAAAGAATGTTCATTATATTGTCTTAGCTTTTAAAGACATGTATTCATACAAGTTGTTTATCTTAGTTAGTTGATATAGTTTGTGTATATTTAGAAAATATTATCTGTTAAAAATAATATATTATTTTATAAATTCCATAAAATAAATTCAACCAAACAGCATACTTCTTTGTTGATAAGCAATATGTAAATTCTCATTATATATGTTAGTATTGAAGTTTGAAGTTGAGATGTATATAATCCTCCCTTTATCCATCTATTCACTAATTTAAACAACTTTCTTCATGAGTATCTTAAGATAAAACAATTGATACTATTTTTTTATATATTAGAACTAGTTTATGCATTAGATAATCTGAAAAGGTGTAAGTATAATTTATTTAAATTTTCATTAGTTGTTTATTCATTAGCTTAAGAATAAGAAAATTTGATTTAAATTTTTTTCTAAAGATCTTAAAATAAGTTTTCCCGACATGTTTGTTTATTTAGATGTGAAGTTCAAACTAAATTTTGTTACAGTGCTTTTATTTTATAATATATTTTTTTTCTCAGTACAATTCAAATTTTATAAATTTGTAACATTTTCTTCTAATAAAATTTTACAAGACTGAACATTTTAAGCATTACATACATTTTTTTATAAGAAATACTAATTAAGGTTAATTATAATTAATTCTTTTCAAAATAATATATTACAATACGATTGTGGCTAACAAATAATTTAAAAAGATTTGGTGAAATTTTCTACTTTTAAATAAAATGTTGATAATGGGATTATATATTGAATAATAAACTCTAATTGAAGTCGAAATATAATTTTTTTTATAAAATAAAAAAATATATATCATCAATAATAAATGTTTCTAATGGTAAAAGAGGGCAAAAAATTAAAGTAAGTAAAAAGGAAAATTAAAACAATTAGAAATTTTATGTATTCTAATAAAAAATAAATTTATATATATATATATATATATATATATATATATAATTTTTTTTAAAAAAAAAACAAGGTAGAGAAGATGGGAAAATTGTGACATAAGATGATGAGTTGGAGGTTTTAGTATTCTAACTTATTATGTATAAAGATTAAACATGTCAAACTTTAGATTGAAGTTGTCTGAAATGGATGAGGAGCTAAAGAATTCAAACAATTAAGGTGACGGATCATGATTGACTTTTATGTTGAACAATGTAAAAATATATCCTTATATTTAATAGAAAACTCATGTAAAAAATAGGAAGGTCACTGTGTTTCACAAGTACCTTGAGTCATTGTTCTATTTTTTCAACTTCACAGAAAGATCTTGAGATATTTGATTTTTTTCTCTCACTTTTTCATTAAGTGATTGCAAATCCTATGAACAAACAATAATTAATGGCATATCTTCTACCATCAACACCCTTAGCTCAATTAAATTTTGTGAACCCTTTTAATTTACTTTCATTTTTTGTTAGGAAAATTAGCATTGATATTATGTTTGTTTGATTTATGTAAGAACTCTTATAGTTCCATTTACAAAGATTTGTAACACATAGTCTTAAATAATTCACTACAAAAGTGACATTAAATCTGATATATATAGGACATGCAGAGTGTTTCAGTATATCCTTTATAGAAGAAGGAATAAATTGTCCTATTCTTTATATAGCTTAATCACACAATCAATTGGTGTGGGATATAACTTTACAACCCAAATGTCCTTTAATTTGACATGACACTATTTTTTTAAAAATTCAATTTTCTCAAATCTTTAGTATACTAAAACCGATATTCAACTTGTATTTAAGAGTATTTATCTCATCTCCGTATACATGTATACATAAGAAGTAATTAGTTTTAGATTATATAAGACATTGTTGATAAAGAAATAAATTAATTTTCAGCTTCCACTATATTTACTCACAGAGGAGATTTTTAAAGTTTGCAAACTAAATTTTCAATAAAAATAAAAAGTTGTAATGCAAACTTTATTGTTTAAAAAAGTTGTCTTGAAACAAAATTATTGTAAACAACGTTGTAACAGTGGTCATCTTTTTGACAACAAAACTAAGTTAATAAGGAGTTCATGTAAAACTTTATTTTAAAAAAGAATTTATATATATATATTTGAGAAATATTTTTTTTTTAAAGAAAAACACTAAAAAAAATCAAGTTTTATTTTATTCAAAGCAAATAATTTGGTAGAATTTTTTAATAATTATGTTTAATATTTTCGTAATATGATAATTCAAAAAATAAATATTTATATGCAAAGAATAATTTCCTATAAGAAAAACATATAATTGAGATACTTAAATTGACATAATAAAGTTGTAAAGAAAACAGTTAATAATGATAATATTTATAAAATAAAGTTTGTACATATTCAATAACAGAATATTAATATTAAAATTGTAAAACTAAAATAGTTTTATGAATGTGTTAAAGTGAAAATTAAGGAAAAATTTTCTATTATCATTCAAATATTCATTAGAAGTAGAAGAAAAATTACAAATAATACACTCAAATAAATAAAAGTCATAAATCAGATGGAACTTACACTTAAAAAAATCATTATTATCTATTGTAAAAATTCATAAATAAATTTTAAAATTTATAGGTAACACATTAATCTTTACAAATCATCTGTGAATAAAAATCTGTAAATAAAATTGTTACTTATAGATTTGTCTACAAATAATTACCTACGAATAAATCTATAAATAATTATATAGATATGTAGATAATTACCGGATAAAGTTTATAAGTAATTATCTAAAAAATTCTAATTACTTAGGAAAAAAGTTTCATAGATAATTTCCTATAATAAAATTCGTATATAATTATTTACGAATAAAAATTTATATGTAATTATTTATGATAAATCCGTATATAAATATTGATAAATAACTTGTAGTGTTATTAAAATGTTAGCATCTCATAAGAAGAGTTCTAATGTAGTGTTAATACTCAGAAAAAAAAATCAAAAAAATATTTTATGCATTTTAATATATATATATATATATATATATATATATATATA